AAATTGAAATTGAAATGAGCTTGATTTATACCGGACATAGGTGTATTTTGTTTAAAGCTCCATTCGAACTAATGTACCATTATCAATGATTTGTTGTTGTAATGTGTTTTTTCACTGTTATCCTATTTCGCTCGTGTAAAAGAGTTGTAATTTAGTCACGGAAGAATAAATAAGAATACAATGAACTAAAAATCGTTGATTCCACCTTTTTATAGGATTAATGTTTTCATTTTGATTTGTACACTCGCATGTTTTATTGCGAGATTGCGCCCGTTTGTTCTTATTACCATATTTGTGTAAAGGATACTATTCTATATACTTTAGTTCCTGTTTCTTTGAATATTATTATATAGACAAATTTTTTTCTCTTCAATCGAAATCAAAAACAACAAAAAGATAAATATCAAATATGAATTCAAATATATTTCCATTTTCGTCGAGCAGATGCGATTCTCTCCTTTAAATGATCAGTATAAGTATGAATACACTATACACATGATAGTGTTCTACAAATTTAAGTATTCTTTTTTTTAATGGCTCTTCGGTCTGTAGGCCTACTTAAACTTTGAGAGAAGATGTAAAAGCAATTTTCAAGTAGCATTAGAGCTTAATATGGTTGAATACGTGGGTATCTGTTTTCTGTGGCGTGTATAAATAACCAGATCACATCAGAATCATTAAGAAAACATGAAGCATTCCATCTTTTCTAAAGGCGATGAGCATTTTAACTTGTTCGCCGCTCGAGGGGAAAAATGAATGTCAATCCGCATATGAAATATAGTTAATTTTGACTATATTTAACCGGAAGTAAAAAAAGTGCAATTTTCTTCTATTTTTTGCCACTCCTATCTCGAAAAATCTAATTGGAGTGTGTCGACAGAAAATTTGATTAAAACCTACACTTATTTTGCATAATTTGGTTAAGTTTACATCGACTTCCATTCTCGAAACATGCTGAAGTTGTTGAATTGGTTAGGGATTCATCCACCTGTATGCAGTTCTACAAACTATCATGCCTTGCTATTCTTAACGCTGATAAAAACACCACTAATAGAGGAAGTGAATAGAAGGAGATGAAGTAAAAAATAACTACATCCCCAAAAGACTTCTCTTAATGCACCACTATCCAATGACCTGACATCAATTTGAAACCTCCGCTTTATAGACCATTTCAATTTCAAGTTCATGTCGCCTTCGTGAAAAATAGTCGCACTTGATAATTATCCCTTGCGGTTTTTTTTTGGACAATATAAACCAAAGCACAAGTTTTATTGGACTCTGTACACTGTACATCTGTTGCTAGGCGACACGTCATAGTGACGTCATTGGGGTTGAATCTGACATTTAAGGTCCTCGTTATGTTACACATGGGACCTGTCAATGGATAATGTCCCCTTGATAACGAATATCTCTGGAAATTACTTCGACAGACTTTATCATCTTCTCGAGCGCTAATGGGGCAAGAACCCTGTTCCAAGTGGGGTTGGTTTTTTTTTTTGCACGGTGACAAGATGAGAATTTCTCTTTTTTTAATCTGTCTTCCTTAACAGAAAGTGTTAGACTGGGGATTCGACTTTACGTGGAAGAACGCTTCAGACTTTCGATAATATCATTTTGATATTCCAAAATACTACAACGTTAAGCAATTTCTTTTTCTCTATTTCAAAACAGATAATGTAAATTATAAATTTGAGAACTCAGTGTTCGCTTGATTATTTGAAAGTTTTCTTTTTGTTTTTGTTTTGAACTTTACGGAGTAATCTAGGAAACATAATTATTATTTTTTTGGTCATACCATGTAAGTGTTACTCATCAATGTATTGAAATAACAAAGTGAACTTTTTAATATAATATATCTGGAATTCATATTCAGATGTGATTTGTAAACAAGATAGGTCATTTAGTTTACAATTTTTTTATCTTCAATTTTGTTTTCAAATTAATTTAAAGAAAGACAAAATCAAATGTCAGTTTAGTAATAGATAACTCAAGGATATAATTTTGAATGGTTTTGGTAATAGAAATGATGATAAGTACACCATTTCTGTTTATCAATTACCGAAAGTATTACGATGACATGAACGAGGTTTATCACATGTATTTACAAGTCATAATAAATAGTTTGAGTATGCATTATTAATGTTCTTTTTTCTTCATTTACAGGAGATATGAAATTTCGAATTATACTAGCATGTCTTTTTTTTAAACAACACCTTTGCTATAGCATGGCAACTACGGTCTACCCAGCCTCTGTTTAGCGCTTAGCTGTGAAAATGTGAACCACTTGTCCTATCGATCCTGCCGTGACCGATCGATAGCGGAAATCAAGTCAGCTGCATTTTATTATCGCGCCGTATTCTCTTCCTCTAAACTTAGCCACGTGTAAATAAAATATAATTCCAGCTTGCTGTCTCCCCCGTTCAAATGAGGACGAAATGTACTCCCTCTTTTGACAGTATACATGTCTGCTTCACGCGACGAGAAAAAACAAAGAAAATCTGAATTAACAACCTTTCAGAGACACATTTATCTTTTTCGCGATAACTTCGCACGTTAATGGCGCCAAAAACAACATGTTTTATGGATTGATTGCATGGTGGTGAATGGATACAGACATGGAAACTGTAAAAACACGTTTCTATTTTTATATTTATTCTAGAATAACGACTTCATATCATATCAAGGTAGAAGATACATACTGTAGATAAGGTCGAATTTTCGACCATGAAATTTAATGAGATATAAAAAAGTTTGATCTCGAGATTGGTCTAGAGACCTAGCTTATTTCGCTGCCAGTCGCCACCCGGAACCCATAATATGCTTAAAACTATGAAACTTTTATTTGGTCTCATTCTCGAAATAACTTTGTATTAAAGCAGACTACAAATTTTCTGGTGGCGCGTGTAAGTTTACAACCTTTCGTTTGATACTTGATTAAAATGATGTAGTTTGCTAACAAATCGTATGAAGATTATAATTATTTTGATACTTCAAGGGAAACTAAAACCTTTACTTTAAATAATTATGTAACATAGTTAACCATTATTTGAATTATTTGTTGATCAGCCGAGTATTAACAAAGCGACATTGTTAAGCAATTAGATTATATTTTAAGTGCACACAATAATATAAATTCAGACTTTTGTTCAGTGCTGTTCATCTTTTGATACCTTTGATACCCTATGGTCAATAATAGTTTCCAAAATTTAGATGAAACTTTGACAAACTTGCGCATTTCAGCCGCAGACTCATAAATCGGCTTCCTGGGTGACTCGAAAAATTATGGTTTGTGATAATCACCCACCCCGCAAGAGCTGGGCCTAATGTCCTAGCCAGCACATCATATTGTAATAACTCAATATGTTTAGGTATAAGGTGTCCTCTGTTTACATATATTTGAGAAGTTCGGTATAGTTCGGTATATCTCTTGAGCATCGGACAATGGAGCTGCGACGGCAATGGATCTCTAGGGAAATTCACCGCGTCATTTCTCCCGATATATAACCAAATGATTGATTCTCAGTTTCACAAGCAGAGACGCCATCATATCTGGTAGAGGCAGAGAGCTTTACAGAACGACCAAGAATGAAATAATGTTGAGTAGAGGTGGGATGTATGTACGTGGGTAGAATGTGGAAACGTTGAAAATGTAACCCTGCTCCTTCCCTCCCTCACTTCCCTCTCTTCTCCCTCCCTCTGCCCTTCTCTCTCTCTTTCTCTCCCACTATTTTCCCTTCCTCTTCCATTCTCTCTTCCCCTCGTTCCCTCCCTCCCTCTTACCTTCTCTCTTCCCTTCCTCTACCTCCATCCCACCCCTCACTCCCCCTCCCCCATCACTCCCCCTACCTTCCTCTCACCCCACCCCTACTCCTCCCCCACCAAACTCCCCCTCCCCTCAATCCCCGGAATCTGTGATTTATACTAACGGGAGAATGTAAGGTGAGATGCATTAAGGAGAAGCCCTTGGCATTGGTTTGCTTACAATGTATAGATGATATGTTGTGAATTAAGACACCCAACCCCTCTGTATCCATTAATCTGCACAGGTAGGCTTGACGTTCCTCCAGAAACAAAAACAAGCTCCGCTTATTGGTACCTTAATTTGTAATGACTTTGTAGGGATAAACTCTGTGCATGGGTATCCGGACAACCCCCCCCCCCCCCCCCATGAGAACATCTTCCAAGACAATCACCAACTAGGAATATTATCGGTGGGCAACTAACCCTGCAAAATTATGTTCCTAGGACTACTTCCCTGGGGCCAAGACATAAATACACTTAGGGTATCTACCCCCAGGACAGCTTACCTTCTTAAAGGTACCCTTATTACCCCCACGAACAAATACATAGGTGGTAACATCCCAGAAAAGCAGGTGTCCGGAGATAAGCGGTCGCTACGAGTAATTTTGTCTGGGAATAGCAGTCCTTAGTGGTAATCCATGTGGTATTCCTGTAATCGAAATCCTAGATTTACTCATTTTACATTGTGTTTTGTTTTTAAGTCATGATATTTTCGTCTCTTTCCATTGAGCAGATGTGACTCCTTAGTTTCGATGGTCAGCATAAGTATAAATATCATAAATTGCTTTTAAGTATAATAAGGGCTTCAGGAAAATTATCGATTTGGGTATCCTATGACAATGATATTTTTGTAGGAAGATCTAAGCTTTCAAATGATCACGGCAAACATCTATTCACACTCAAACACGCACACACACACGCACGCACGCACACACACACACACGGGCGTATCTGTGTATGGCTATCCAAACGAGGACAGCTTTTGTTCGTCTGTTGTTTCCTGTCCTCAAAAGCCTAATGTAATAAGACTCGTATCTTTTGTTTGACATCAGAGGACAATTGTAATACTATCCAAGGACTTTTGTTCTCAAGACTTTTCTGTGTTCTATGTCCTCGTTCATATTACAAGCCCACGCATACGCTCACACAACACACACAAATGATAAATCGTATATTTTCTTTTTGTATTTTACTTTCAGCTCTTGGAGACTTATCTGACGTTCTGTGGTATCGGGATCAGTAACGCCATGCTCTTCGACACATACATGAAGGAATACGACAGAAATAGGGTGAGAATTTACACAAAAGTTATTTTTTAAAAATGATAATGAAATTTATCTTCTTCTAGTTGTATACCGCCAGCCAAAATTTTAAAAAAAGAACAAAACACCTGTCCTAGCAAATTCAGTTAAGCTTGAAATGTGTTTTTTCTTTAAATAGTTGCGACTTTTTCAAGTTCATGCAAAATAAAATCTTTACCCGAAGACAGAGCAACGGATATTTCGCGATGTCTTTAAAAATAAAGTATTTATGTATACACTTTTATTTTTATTTTTGCACATTCTCAATTTTAAAAAGTCGTTTCCTTAGTTAAACAATATACAGAACGTCTTTTAATTCTTAAATGTTGGTCTTACTGTGTGCATCCAGGGATATATTGAACCAAAGTATATTGCCTTTAAATGGCCTTCGTGGTGTGTAGAAGTGTTAAAGTGTGTACGCATCGGTAGAGCAAGTCACGTGACAAAAATCGGCCCACCTTCCGCAGGCAATATTGTGTTTTAGCTGACCCCTTTCCATTACCAGAAGCCACGAATGATTAGGGTCAATCGAAAAGGTTTATGCTAATAGTCCATCCGAGCGAAGAATAGAAAGGCTATCGTTTATCCCCCGTAATGGATATGTGACGTTTCCGCATATCTCGAAATATTTACGATGATCAAGTATGATTTTACACACTTTGAAAGAGGCACATTGATGTGAAACCCTCATTTCTTCCATATTACGCCAATGGGGAAGAGAGATAACCCTGTAAATTCTCGATCCACCAGTAAATGCTATCAACCTAGCTACAAGTGAACTTTTCTTTGTGTCAGCTTTCTTTAATAATTCTATCAGAATTTAATTTAAAGTATCAGATACATAGTGGGGCCATAAAGGAATAAAAAACGAACTGACATCTTGCCACGCGTTTTACGAATTGATAGCTTATTGGGAGCTTGTTCTCAGTTAAGCGTTAAAATTCAACACACCGTTCAGTGTCTAATCTTCCCAAAGATTTTTTTTCCGTCGCGATCTACACGAAGCTTTTACTGACAATTTATTCATCGGAAAATATTTTGATCTGAAAAGCAAACATCAGTCTTTCTTACGAAAATCAGAAAGGGGGTAATCCAAAGAGCAACTTTAAAAAAAGTTTATCCAAGTGAGATGTGAACTTATCCTATTTACCATTCATTCCATTTAGTAACACTGGGGAGTGTTTTACAAAGAATAAGAACGATTTATCTTAAACTTGTACTGTGAAAGGCTGTTTATGCCACTGGTTGCTCTGTCCATTTCTGGCATTGCTTTCTCAAGGGACGTGCAAATCGTGGTCATAAATCTACAGAATTTATATTTTTTGATTGTTCATTGTTGAAGGAAAAGAAATTATCTAAAGGTCATACTTTCTCTGGTAATTTTCCTATAATTTTACATCTGGTTCAAATATATTAAGGGGTACTTACCTATTATTGATAGTATAAGTCCAAGTCTTGCATAGAACTTGAATTAAAGCATTTATTTTTCATCAACAATTAACTTTAAAAAAAAAAATTCTGTAGATTTGCGAAGTCCCTTGTGAGATCAATGGTGAGAAAAAACCAGTGGCATAAATGGCCTGTCACATAGTTCGAGTCCAGCTTAAGTCGACCTTAGTCTTTGTGAAATACCCCCTAGGTTTTTCAAATTATACTTAGCTTGAAATAGAGAACCTGTTTTGCATAAAATGTACCTGGAATCTCGGTCTTTTTTATCATAATATATTTTAATGACATTTGTTTAATTCTAAGTCCATAACATTCAACACAACAAATCAGTGTGTTGTAGACCATATTTGATTGATATACACTTCTATGACGTATACAACTTAACACGATTCTAATATAAGTCATTCTCTATGCTTGGTGGGTGATCGATGAGAAATTTCGCATGATCATTAAGTGCTCTCATTAAATTCACCCTCCTAAAGAATGTACAGAAACAGAGGATATGGTTCATAAGTAAAAAAAAAAATAAGAGAAATGAAAGGAGAAAAGGGGAAATCACGTTGCCTGAATGAAATTGATATAAATAAGGTCAAAGGATAAAAGGATAAAATCTTATTTTTTTTTTTGTGTGTGTGCAAATTATGCCAAGTATACATCACATCGCCATGTATTCAACCGAGATTTAAGCGATAAAGACTTTAACGGAATAGATGAGGGAGGGAAAATTCTAGCAGAATAGAAAAAAAGCTTGGAGATGGTGTACATTGAAAAGAAAAAGGGATAGCCTAGTCGCCACATGGAGACGTAATGTTTAGGCGGTGTGGAACCAGACAGTATGGTGTAGGGTAACGAAATATAAGACGATTAACGAAACGTAATAACTTGTCTAGTAAGACAAGCGAGGACAGATCTTTTGATAATCCCTTCCGATTTACGAGATACAGACGGTTACTGGGGAAGAACTCGATGGTGGGGAAAAATGAAGAATGAGAAACGAAAATGATGACGAAAATATGTCAGCATACAATAGGGAACCGTCCAAGGGACAAAATCATCGACGTTATGCAAATATATATACACATAGGCGCCAGCATAAAGGTAAAGGAAGTAAAAGGATCACCAAATATAATGACGATGAATTATGGTGAGCAAGTTATATAACAACAACGGGGAATGTGTCTTGATAAGGGTAATGTACTTTGGGATTTTGATGTTGACGAGTTTGAAAAATTAAATAAAGAGCAATAAATGTGCAAACGTGGATGAAGTTGTAAAGCCCACGGCGTAGTATTGAATAAGTTAATGTTGTCTGTAACCGTTATTATTAAACCACACATCACCAAATCCTCTGACAGGGTCAGGAAAGGACCAGCCTATTATAAACACACCTCGTCCCGGTGGTAGTTAGGGAACGAGAGTGGAGGCCACGGATATCAAAGATTTTAAAAAATATATATATTTAAAACAAATTCTAGAGGGCTGCCAGAAGAGCAACACTCTAACAAATACATGTACATTTATAAAAGAGACGATAAAACCGATAAGACAGGTAAAATCCAAAGAATGTATTTAGAAAAGCCTGAAATCTTAGCTCTTTAGTTTAATGCTGCGATATCTGAAGGCTGTTGCCCCTCCATGGCACCCCTTCAGCTGCTTTGCTCAAGGGATGCGTGATGAAATTCGAGTACGGTAGCATTTCCTGCTCTCGGTTCAGGTTTATAACATTTCACACTCGCAGAGATTTTTCTCCATCCTCCAGGAGGTGAGAACGGTGGAAACCCTCTGGGATGCATTCAAGGAAGTACGCAATCTGCTCCGCTACTGGGAGGAACATAGACCTATATGCACATTTAATTGGCATGTCGTTTGATTACTGGCAACTTTTAGGTAGACGTGGATTGTTATTCACAATTTCTATACATGGGCTGTACAGAGGCGATTTAATATTCTGTTCTGTTCTAGGAATACCAATTCCAATCTAATTCATAATTCTCGGGTCTTTTCATATTGTACTCTTGGATCAAATATTTATATGAGTTTAAGTGACTGCAATAATGAGGTTTATATCTAGTTCTTTCTGCATTCTTGTGTATCCACATTAGCTAAACCTGCTTACAAAAATAATCATAATTTTACCATTATTAGCCACATTATAGGTTTATAATCTTCTTACTCACCTGATATTTCCTTCCTCTGATCTCAATCAAATCCATATCCACGCCCCCACTCATTAAAATGCAAATTTGTCTATGTTTGAAAATTTCCTTCGACAATCAGATAATCATAGTTGGTATAAAAAATATAAGGGATTACAATAGTTAAAGGGTAACTCCACCTTGATATTAAGTTGCTTTTGATAGAAGCAAAAAAATATAGGTATAGGTCAGTGAATGTTTGATCACAATTCGATTACAAATGAGAGAATTATGAATTTTTTGAAGTTGCGGACAATAATATTAATTGATCAATTAATTCTGTGACGTATCTTGCGAGGTTTTCTGCCTTTCGCTCTTTACTTTAAAACAAAAATCTTAAATGTCTATTCTCCCTACAGAAAATTCTCAATCATACATGCAACCTAAATATAATTATTGAAAATATATTTCGATTAAACCTTTGTCCGTCACCTTAAACCGTCGTCAATAACTAAGAAAATGAAAGTTTATGAAATTTCTGTACAGATCAAATTGGAGAGGAGCTCGCAAGATGTGTGGCAGTGTTGCCGATTTGTGTTTCAGGGATGATAACGGTTAAGCGGTGTGACTGGTTATTAGTCCCTATTGATAAAAGTCCACTCTCCTTTGATGTAGAGTCATATTGATGTATATATTTCCCCCTCTTTTTCTCCCATGTTACTCTTTTCTAGAAACTCTTAGAAGTTGCTCATGACCTGTTTGAAGAGCAGACGAGTCTGGACAACGTTGTTCAGAAAACGATGCTACGGGCCCAGTCATTACTCAAGTGTGAACGCTGCTCAGTAATGATCATCAAAGATCCGTCGGCAGAGGTGAGTTTGTTCACACTTACAAGTTTTGTTCGATATACAAGTAGCAGAGGGGAACACAACTGTACTTATGAAATGGGGTCGTATCTCTCAAAAGCATTCTATGCGCAGAAGACGACCCGGAGTGCTTCAGATATAATACTATCAGACAGAGGAGAAATTACTTATTATATTTTCTTCTCTCCTTCCCCTCTTTTTTCAACGTACTTTTAGGGCACACTTTCATACATCATCTCCATCTTGAAAAATTATATTTGTAGGGTAAGCACTCTAGTTTTTGGTACAAACTCCTTTTCTGATTAGCAAATTGAGGAGGGAAAGTTGAGCTAAAAAAAACGAAACACTTTATTTCAGCTCGTGTTAACAATTCAATCTGCCCTGTTGTTATTGCAGTTTGTCTATAAAAAAAGAAATTCGACGCTTCCTGAGCATGTTCAAAATGGCTCCGGTCGCCGGATAAGTGTCACTTATAATGGCGTCACATACCCTAAAACATAAGGCTTCGCGCTTACCATATCGTCTGTTATTACGACACGCGTGTGTCTAATGTAGCAAAGAGGGTGGACGGAATAGCAGGTCAATAAACCGCTTTGATGTCATGAGTCGCTCTATATAGGTTGTAATAGAAGTAGCCATGATTTATGAGTATTGTAGCTGTTAACCCACGTCTCAGTTGAGTCATCCAAGTAGTTTGGTGCTTGCTCTTTCCACGTCTCCACAAGTAAATTATTCCTTTAAACTGGAGAAAAGAGTTTAAATCAGATTTGAGAAATATCCACACTGTTGTACTCTTTCGCGAAACTTGAGGTATTTATACAAGTAAACTTGATGGACGTTCAACTGATGTTTCATAATATAGGCAGCTATTGCGAGATTTGTCTCCTGGATAAGCCAAATTTGATATGGAAATCCGATAGCCGACGCCCAGGGGCGTTGAGATGAGAACTGTATATTATCTCTTGACTACGATCCAAAACGCAGAGTTGTGTAGAAGGTTTCTCGTCTCTGTATAGTGTTGAATAATTAATACCGACTTAACGTGGACTGGTTGATTTCTTACTTCTTTCTTGCATTCGACTTTATTTGAAGTAAAGGTTCATGCAAACGAGGACAATTGCCGCAATTAACACGCACGTGAAGTATAACATGACGACTCTGTGTAATAGAAAAAATAATAATGAAATCAGGCTATCCGAATTGGGTAAGATTGTGAGTAAGAGCCCCGTGGCATTGTGGTCAAATCACTAATTACGTGATGAACATTTTAAATCATAGTATAATTATGGCTTGTATCTGAATGCTTATATAATCAGTGCGTGCCAGCATGGGATCAAGCCATGCATCGCAATATATTTTAGCTTTAGCTTTACCCGAGATTCTGGAAGAATGCTGTAATCTCAACAGTCGGGTTTCCATCTTTCTGCATTAATGCCTCACATTATGGTAAAACTTATCATACTGATGTATTGAGGTTTGAAAAGATCACTATCGTATTGCATTAACATTCAACAGCAAGATTCCCCTTTTGTAGTGGTGCCAAATCGACCACATATGCTCATCCTAACATGGATTGCTCCTTCAAATCTTATTCGTCATGTCTGTATACATAATCCACTCATGTCAGTACGCCTCTGAGAACCCCCACTGGTTTCAATACACCCCCTCCATTGATCAGCATCCCTCCAAAACAGTTCCAATAATGAATGTTTACCTTCTTTATTAAACCATGTGTACAGCGCCAGGAGAGCTTGTAATCATTTCCAGCCCCGGTGGAAATTTAATTCAATAATATTTCACCTGAGCGCGAAACGTTTAAGTTATCGTAAATCGGCCGCGGTCTCGGATCGCGATGAAAAGAAGACGGCGATGATAATACATCTGTATGCCTGTCCACTCTCTTCAAACCAATATGCAGACCTAGATTTGGAGTGCCTCGCCATTTCTGATCAAAACTCAACAAGTGGTGTGCAAACATTGGCCGAGCTGCCGATGTAATGGAGATCTTTCCCACTCACGGAGAAATTCTGGAGTTTTGTTCTCTTTTCTCCTAATCTTATGAGGTTGTGCTTGCAAAAAAAGAAAGGAAAAAGAAAGGAAATACCGTGGTTAAAATCGAAGATTAAAGTAGGATGATAATTCTGAAGTGTACTTACGTTGAAGTTAAAAATAAATTGTGGCAAAAGAATCCCACTTTCCTTGTGAATTCAGACTAAAATTCCAAAATTATAGAAAATTTGTTCGATTTTCTGTTTCAGGGGTTCTACCGATCCAAAGAGGTGCAGAAACCTTATACCAAATGCTGATTTCGTTTGATAGGTGTAAAAAGGAGCTGTCTGTGACAAAGTCGGCAATGAGCATTGAGGGGTGATTGGGCTAAAAGTAACATGTTGGTATAAAATAGAGTTCCAATGAAGAAAATAAATCGGGGCAACCCCTAAATAAGAAATATCGAACAAATAATTATATTCTCTATACCTTGGTAGTCGTACAATCTTTATCTTGTATTTTCTCATTTTGTTGTGAATTCACAGGGTTTTGGGTATTCCAGGGCCCTCTATGATAACATAGTTGCGGTTGGCTCAAATAAATCACATCTTAACAATTGATCGCAAATCATTTTAATTTGCCATTGAATCGCATCAACAGCAACTCGTTATAAGACGGGCCCGTGATCTTAAATACCTCTCTTTCTACATCCTTCATTGTTGTTCTTTTAATAATAAATCAGCCGTTGTTTCATAAGCACGTAAAATTATTATATTTTACGATCAATTTTAAACAATGCATCTGACGGAGTTGTCTCCTACGTAATTGCCATCGATGTTTATATCTGAAGGCATAGGCATATCCTACGTTCAGAGATTTTACGAAGTAATTTAGATATTGGATAACTATTATTGGTGTATATGGTGGTGGAAGGTAACTTGATGAACAATGGACAGAAATGATTACATCTTGATGTTAGATTTGAAGTGGATAAGGAATGAAACAAAAATGTTCTGTTTTGCTTTGTCGTGTAACGATTCTTCTTGCAATTTCAATGGAATGAAATGAAAATGAAATTCAAGATTATTTTTATGATTTCAGACCGATAACAAAGGTAAGAAACTTATTGCTTTTTGAAAATTCATAAAATTGGAACATCGCAGTCTTTCCGAGTAAGCAAACAGCAGTGTTAAAAAAAACCTCAACTGAGCAAAGGAAATCATTAAGAACGCACTACGTTTTAGTATAGCATAATATCTTTCAGTAGCGATTATGTTTATTATTTATGCGTTTTCTAATACCGTATTATTACGAGGGATATAAAACCAAGAAACACAATATATGATGTGATCAAACATCATCCAACGCACGGTAATGTTGTCAGACGATCTTGACAGTTCCTCAATCATTGTAGAAGATTAATTACAACTTGAAGCGAAAAAGGAATAATATGAAATTGGATTGGACGTCAAAGTGTAAGGATTGTAAGCCATTGTAGAGTCGTAACCTGTATTTTTTAGGCATAATTTTGTAGGTCTGCATTTTAAGTTGTTATGATCATGGCCCTTATCATATTACACGAACTATTGGGATTAAATGAATATTGGTTTCAAATTTTCAATCATTTAAATAGATCATTTTATTCTTGTTTTTAATATCTTGATTATGCTGGGTAAAAGCAGATTGTAATGGTATAAACAAGAGTATTACAAAGAAAGAGAAACGAAAATAGTTTGATTTTAAAAGTATTCCGGGCTATCCGAGTCAGCGCCTTCAAAATTGTTGTTAACATGTACCAAAGGGTCTTTGGGGGAGGGACATTATAAAAACAAGGTTAGTGAGTAGGATTTTTTCGGAACACGAAATCAAAGAATTCTGCTGTCTGCTAACAATAAAAAAACTCTTACGAGGGAGTTCCATTACAATCGCCTTCATCTATGCATCAAATCGTATCTGCCTTGTGGGGTTGAGCGACTTTATCTTATGCGCCTTTGGGTTAACAAGAACTTCCGATGAGTCACCTCAAATGCAGTGTACTTATGTACTTAATAGAGTGAACATGTTGATCCATGTTGTCATTTTATAGACACGCTGTCGATTTTTGATCACGACGACGTAAATGAGCGTCAAATAACTAAACAGATAACCACCTATATATTTCAACCAATTATGTAAATTTGTATTACTATGATTATATAACTTACCGCGTTTTCATAGATTGTTAGTTAGGCTTGTAATATGATTTTTCTTTTTATCTCTTATGTTATGGCGACATTCTTTTGTATATACAAGCATTGAAAAGTACACAAGAAAATATGAATTCATAAGAGGAGAATATTGAACACTTTTAACCATGGCAATCCACAAACTACCTCCCTTCTATATGTCCTATGTTCCTTACATCCTTCAAAAAAAATTCCACATAAGGATTGCAGAAGCTTTAGTTTGCTGGATTTCTTGTATACCTATCCTTGCATTCTCTTTCTTCATAACTGTAAATATATTAAGGTTGAGTCGGAAAATGCCATTGGCCTTTACTGCCCCTTTTTGGCATACATTTTTAAAAAACTCGGTAGTTCTTCTGACTTCCCGTGTCCGTATAAATATTTCCGCGAGATGTCCTTTCAATTTATGCGTTTACTTAATTGAACATCTCGATATTTTGAAAATATACATGAATAAAAAATATAGCAAATCATGTCATGGGCAAGTAGATTTACAAATGGAAAATATTCCATGCCTGTCAAATCTATAATTGATTCAGGCAAAGGTTTGTTTCGATGCATGTGTAGTCTGAAAAAATATCATAGAAAAGTTTGATGATTGTACATGGCATATTTAGAACAAAACTCTCGTGAGGCATGATTATGAAAGAGTATGCAGACAATTTATTATTCACTACTTAATCTTCAACATACTCTTTTCCATGATTCGAGAAATGACAGGCAGTCTGATGCCCTCTTTTCTGTGACACGAGATGAATTGCACTTGTAGAACAACAAAAGAATGACAGAGTA